TTTAAGTGTGATGATAGACCACATTCCTCTTTTAAGAAAAAAGAATATATTTATCAATCACTTATATAAGTGTTATAATCACTTAGAATCTACATTCCTCTTTTATGAAATAAGAACACATCTATTACTTAAGTGATTTTCATGCTAGAAAAATTACTACCAACTTGAATTTTCACAAAGAAATAAACCTACACTCGACTAGACAATTAATTAGCCAAAAATTTAAGGAATATTCTTTGTGATGTTTGTGTTCATCTATATGAATTATAATTCTCTTATCTAATAAAAGTATACAATCTAAGTACTAAAACAAAGGAAATAAATTGTCTTTGCTTTCTAACATATAAAAGCCATAAATGCAAGTAGCTTGGTAAATACTAGAAGTTCTTCTTCAACTCGGACAAGAATATCTCTATATTAAAGTTTTTACCATTAAAAAATATAGTTATTTGTGGACATTAATTTGTCAACATGGATAAACTTCTATCAATGATTCTGAGTTCTTTCTCAATCTTGCTTCTTATTTACTATAGTCTTTCCTGCTTTTACCCAGAATCTACAAGGACAAGGACAAAATAACCTATTTAATACTTCTATGTTGTAAATCTTACAAAGTATGCCTGCTATCTACACAGAAATTATGCATTTTTACAATTGGGAAGAGATCCTCAGCCTATTTATAAGGTTTAACTTCAGTCTAAAATCAAAATTTCAACCAAGAGAACATACCCCTTGACTACGACAAGTGTTTTAAGACTGTATGTTTATATATATAAGAACTTAACCCAGGATAGGTATTTTATTTTAAAAGTATCTGGTCATTTTTTTTAAGATTTAGCTTTTAAAGATTAAGAGACCACAAACAAACTACATCATTGTCTTCTATGAAATGGTTGGCTTTTTATAAGAAAAAAAAAAGGGTACTTAAACAGGTATTTGTATACCTATGCTTATAGCAACATTATCTGCAACAGACAAAAATTGGAAGTCACTCAAGTGTCCAGATGGATGAATGAATGAACTGTGGTAGGCACATTCCATGGAATATTATTCAAACTTAAAAGGGAAGGAAATTCTAACACATGCCACAACATGGATGGATCCTGAAGACATTATGCTAAATAAAATAAGCCAGTCACAAAATGACAAACACTGTTTTTGAGGTACCTAGAAGAGTCCTATTCATAGATACAGAAAACAGAATGAAGGTTGTCATGGGCGGAGGGAGAAATGGCGAGTTAGTGTTTAGTGGGTACAGAATTTCAGTTGGGGAAGATGAAAAAGTTCTCAGGATGAATGGTAGTGATGATGCATATCAAATGAACTTGAGGTCATAAAACTATACACTTAAGCTTGGTTAGATTGTAAATTTTATGTTATGTATACTTTATAATAAAAAAGGACACAGCTGAGTAACATTCTGAAATCTGTACAATAGTCTATTTAATCACAGTTGAAAACAGTGAAAAACCAGATATTATCTTTTTTAAAGAGACCTATACCTAGTAAGCCTTTAATTGTTTATTTTTTGTCTTGGTTTCTCCTTCTATTTTATCTCCAACCTCCTAACTTCATTTTATTCCATTTGTAAATTTTATGATTTATGGGTTATTTAAGATTGGAAGAACAGACTCCAAGAATCACTAATCATTATATTAAGAAAACTGTATTCTTCTTGGAATCTAGTCCACTATTTACATGTATCCAATGAACACACTTTCATACCATACAGTAATATATTTTTTGTAATTAGCATTATCCTTTTCTACAATATTAATTCAAGTCAATTTTCTTCTGACTAGTCTACACAATTCCATCTATGGATTTCCTGGAATTGAAAATAACATTCCAAAATTTCAATCTTAACTCCTAACTAGAATTTCTGAAGAATTATTCATCCATGATTTATATAACTTATAGTAATCTGATTCCAAGTTTATTACATTCATGATGAAGCTGCAAAACATAAATCTTCAGAAAAATGTTATGTTGTCTTATCTTAAATGTAGCAGTTAAGAGAGAGTTTGGATTTTGCAGTCAGACGGCCTGGTCTGAATCCTGGTTCTACCACTTGCTATATGTGCGAATGGGTTAATTATTTATATGTATTCTGTAAATCTTAGTTTCCAGAGGAAAAGGGAGGTAGGGGAGGTAGAAGGAGGTAAAGGGTGGATAAATGGTGATGGAAGACTTGACTTAGGGGTGGTGAACACACAATACAATATACTAATGATGTATTATAGAACTGTATACCTGAGACATATATAGTAATTTTATTAATCAATGTCACCCCTAGAAATTCAATACATAAAAAAATTTAAATGTGGACATTAATACCTAAGAATTGTTGTTAGAACTATGTATATAAAGCTCCATTGCAGTGTCTGACATGTAGTAAGATTCTTAATAAATGGTAGCTATTAACAATGATAACAACAGTAGCAACAACAGCCACACATGGAAGGGGAAGTGCCCCACTAGACTGGAAGACATCATATTGCAACTTTTAAAAATGACTCCACAAGTTTGATACTACAATGAATCCAGGAAAAAGAACAACTATATATCATAAGACTTGCTTTCTTGTGTTCACCTCTTCTAAATAACTTCATTCTTGTTATCATATGAAGCAAAAGAAATTAAGCAAAACAAAACTGAGAAAGCAACACTTCCCTCTAATTTGACATACACAATTTCAGGAAGTTGTATTAAAAAATGATGAAAAAGTTGAAAAATAAACAGGAAGAGCTACAAACTACAATAAAGGTAACCACATATACAAATGTAAGTAAATTTCTAAGTTTGACTATTTGAACAATTAATTCAGAATAACATTATTATCAAAAAAAATATACTGTAAATCTTCTAGTACCCTTGAAGACAGATCCACAAGTCCAGAAAAATGGGGTATTTTAATCCTTTCTTATCAGTATAGGCAAAAAGATCATATTTTCTTTAAACAAAACCAAATTGCAACTACAGATACAACTACTAAAGATAGTTTAAGTATATAATATTTGATACTGCAACATTTCATTATAAAGCTCAAAGGGTTTCCATGGACTCCCCAACTACAAATGAAAATTAAAAAAATTAAAACAGAATGTTTCTGAAAATATATTCCTTGGAACACTAATTGCATAAGACACACTGGGGTAGTAGAATAAAAGGGTTGTATAGCCAAAAAAAGTTGAAGTCTGGAAAGTGCTGCATCCTTTCACTCTTAAAGATGGACAACACTGTGAACATAAAGGTTCTGAGAGTTCCTTCGGTGAGCAAGAGCTGTTTAAATTTATTTAACCAGTGTTTCTAAAATACAAGGTCCAGCACAAATAACGTCCCTTTTTTATTACAAAATCTTTTATTACAAAATCATAAGCAGGTATTCTGTAACATAACGATATCACACTCAAGGATACCATATGATATTTTAGGTGAAATGTTCAAATTAAAACTATAAATTATTATACCCATATTACTACCCTACCAACCACATTCAAGCAGGAGTTACTTCTGTTGGACCCTGTATATTTGGCCATAGAATTCTTTTATCTTTAGGCAATACCAAGGAACCAGTCAGTGTTCCTCATAACAACTTATATTAGGAAATATATAATTAATTGCCTTGATTACCTATTAAAAATGTAATTCCATATGTACTTGTCCCAAAGAGGGAGTCACAGGCAGAATTTGCTAAAATCTCAATATGAGTCCATGGTATTTCATGTCATGAAAAAAAATTTAACATGCCTAGATTAGCGTTTACACTATCTTTAGCAAGTTGTGGTTATACCTAGAATATGTGTTTTGACCCCTTTACTGCCTGTATGTTATTTAATCAAGTCCAAACACCAAACTTCTAATACTTGTGAAAATCTAAGAATAAATGTGACCCTCCAAGCCTTTGCTTTTCTTTCTGGTCTTTATTGTAAGCAAAGTAAACCCTATAGCTCTGAGCTACACTTTTCAATAAAAAGAATACAGTTACCATGAATTTATTAACTGGTATTATGAGCTACCTTTATGCAATCCTATAGTAAAATAATGAATGTTCCATACCGTTAATCATGAAGCAAAGTAGGGATTATTACTTCATTCCCCTAACACCTCTCTAACACCCCTATTATGTATATACAACAAAATACATACTGTAATTACTACTTTATCTACTGGAGAATAAGCAAGTTTCCCCAAGAATCAATGGTCACAAGGGACCAATTTCTTGTTGGATTGACATTTGTGCATATTGCAATTATAGAAATTATATTATATTAGATAATCACCATAAAATGTGAACAAAAATGGGAGATTCCTTTACTAATAGATTATTATTTAAGGAATTTTCTTCTTTTGAAATATTTTTGAATACAATTTGCTAGAAATCTGAACTTGAACCAAAAAAAAATCAGATGGCATACTAGATAGTTTTTATGAATTCAGAAATTAAGAACAAAGTCTTAAAAATGTTTAATAAGGCATTCATTATTTTGTCCTTGCATTAGATGAAACAAAATAAGTAAGTTACAATTAATTCTGGGTGCAGAATGAATGTGGATGATTATGCTGCCAGGCTGCGGCATCACTTTCTTCCAAGGATCCTGGTTCAATTTCAAAAATACATAAAAGTGTAAGAAAATGTGCAAGGTGAAAACAGACACCAACAATTATTTAAAAGCCTAACATTGAAAACACAAGGACTATTATTGTGGAAATAATACATTTTGGTAACCCATAAATATTTGGTCATTGATTTTCAAGTTATAGAAAATAATCTGATATTGAAAGAAAAACACTTCAAAACATCTATGGCACAGTATTTTATATTATGATAGTATATATCCAAAACATGTTACCAGAGATATGGCTGAAGAAAAAAATAGAACATGAAAGGACTCAATATGTTGACAATTTAGTAAAGGAAAAGAAATTAAAGAATCAGGTTTAAGTTTTGCAGGGTTTTTTTTAATGTAGAAACAGAGATAACAAAAATTGTTCTTCACCTGGTAAGTGTGTACTCCCTGAGTCCAGAATGCAAATTCATGGCAGAAAAAGTACCTATGCATCCACGCAATCTTTTGTCTCGACCAATCTTCCATGTTACAAACAGTGGGCTGTAATGGAAGATAAAAATCAGGTAAATCAATCAATTCAACTTAAGCAAGTATTTATTGAATATTTACTATATGCAAGGTTAGATATCTGAGATATAAAGACCAAGTGGCATGACCTCAGGGGCTGTGTCTAGCCCAATAGGACTGCACTTAGCAATAATCACAGCTACATTGTTTTGAGCATATATTAGGCAACACAATAAATGTTTTAAACAAATTATCTATGTTATCCTCATCAACACCTCTAGGAGGCTGGTTGTATTACTGACATTTTTATTTTTAGATTTGAGGCAGTCCCACAGTTCATTCATAACAAAGTAGGAACTCAAATCTGGGCAATCTTGACTATAGAGCCTTGGCTGACTACCTAACACTTTATTTAAACCTCAAGTTACTGACTGAGTCATATGTCTAGTTTATAAAATTAGGGAAGCCCAGGCAGGTGTGACTCAGTGGATTGAGTGCCAGCCTGTGAGCCGAAGGGTCACCAGTTTGACCTCAGTCTGGGCACATGCCTGGGAGTGGGCCAGGTCCCCAGTGGGGGAAACATGAGAGGGAACAACACGTTGATGTTTCTCTCCCTCACTTTCTCCTCCCCTTCCCCTTTCTCTAAAAATAAATAAATAAAAATCTTTTAAAAAAAGAAAAGAAAATCAGGGGTAAAACCACTAATTTCAATAGATACTTAACTGAATATATTGGGGCAAAATACTGTGGAAGGTACTACAAGAAATACAGAGTTACTGAGACTTCTGGACAAGATACAAGCATAGGTAGATGCACTTTGCCTCCTCACACTACCAAAAGAAGGATAACAACAAATTTAAAAACAAAAACAACCAGAACTATCAGAAAATTGAACTGTATGGAAGTCCGAAAATCAAGTAGTTAAAGAAGAAACATTCATCCAGACCAGCAGGAGGGGTGGATATGGGCAGCTGGGGCAGAGAGGATGTGTGGCAAGATAGCTGGTGAGGCAGCGGGTGGTGGACTAGGTGGTCCCACATTTGCATGCAGATAAACTGGGAGGAACAACTGGGGAGTGAGACAGACTGCACAACCCAGATTCCAGCGCAGGAAAAGAAAGCCTCAAGACCTCTGGCTGTAAAAATCTGCGGGGGTTGCAGCAGTGGGATAAACTCTCAGCCCCACAGAAGAGTTCATTGGAGAGACCCACCCACCCAGGAATCAGTGCCAGAAGGGCTCCATTTACTTGTGGGTGGCGGGGAAGTAACTCAAAGCTGGCCCAGAACCCAGCAAGAGGCATTATTCCTTCTCGGACCCCTCTTCCATATGTAGCATCACAACAGGCCAACGAAGATTGCCCTGCCTTGGTGAACACATAAGGCTCCTCCTCTTACTACCTAATAGGCATGCAGAGACAAAGAAATATGGCCCAAATGAAAGAACAGATTAAAGCCCCAGAAAAAATACAACTAAGTGACAAAGAGATAGCCAACCTATCAGATGCAGAGTTCAAAACACTGATAATCAGGGTGCTCACAGAAATTGTTGAGTCTGGTCACAAAACAGAGGAAAAAGTGAAGGCTATGGAAAGTGATATAAAGGAAAATGTATAGGAACCAACAGTGACAGGAAGAAAACCAGGACTCAGATCAGTGAGTTTGGACCAGAAGGAAGAAATAAACATGCAACCAGAACAGAATGAAGAAATAAGAATTCAAAAAAAAAAAGAAGAGAGGATTAGGAACTGCCGGGACAACTTTAAATGTTCCAACATCCAAATCACAGGGGTGTCATAAGGAAAAGAGAAAATGCAAGAAATGGAAAACTTATTTGAAAAAGTAATGAAGAACTTTCCCAATCTGGTAAAGGAAATAGACTTCCAGGAAGTCCAGCAAGCTCAGAGTCCCAGAGAAGTTGGACCCAAGGAAGCACACACTGAGGCACATCATACTTACATTACCCAAGATTAAACAATAAGGAGAGAATCTTAAGAGCAGCAAAAGAAAAGGAGACAGTTACCTACAAAGGAGTTCCCATAAGACTATCAGCTGATTTCTCAAAAGAAACCTTACAGGCAAGAAGAGGCTGGAAAGAAGTCATGAAAGGCAAGGACCTACATCCAAGATTACTCTATCCAACAAAGCTATCATTTAGAATGGAAGGGCAGATAAAGTGCTTCTCAGATAAGGTCAAGTTGAAGTAGTTCATCATCACCAAGCCCTTATTATATGAAATGTTAAAGGAACTTATCTAAGAAAAAGAAGATAAAAAATATGAACAGTAAAAAGACAACAAACTCACAACTATCAACAACTGAACCTAAAAAAAAAAAAGCAGAAACAAAAACAAACTAAGCAAGCAACTAGAACAAGAACAGAATCACAGAAATGGAGATCACATGGAGAGTTATTGGCAGGGGGGTGGAAATGGAGGAAAATGTACAGGGAATAAGAAGCATAAATGGTAGGTACAAAATAGACAGGGAGAGTTAAGAACAGTATAGGAAATGTAGAAGCCAAAGAAGTTATATGTACGACCAATGGACATGAACTAATGGGAGGGGGAATGCTGATGGAATCAGAGTGCAGGGCAGAGTGGAATAAAGTAGAGGGAAAAAAAATGGACAACTGTAGTAGCATAATCAATAAAATATAATTTAAAAAATAAAAAGAAAAAAGAAATACATAGTTACCTAAGACACAGTCCTTGTTCTCTAGCAGCCAGTACAGAAGGCTGGTATGTTCACAGCAAATTAAGACAAGGTGATGGAAATGAGTATTATAAACTATTTCCAAAATGCCATAAATAAAACAACTGGGATAGAAGAAAATTTCATCAACTGTGATCATCTTTAGCTTGGCCTATAAAAATGAGTAGGGTTCATATAGGTGAAAGACAATAGCAAACATTAACAAAGTAATTCTCTGAAACCAGAAAATTTATTTTAAATTTTAGATAAAATTATTGCCAATAATTACAATCTCTTAAGCATCAACACTATCAAAGTATCAACTATAATATAATGGCATAAAGAAAGTAAGATGATTTTAAATGAAGTTTAATACAAAAAATGTTTGGATTCAGCTGCAAACTACTGACAACCTAAATTATTGGTTAAGTCTAAAAACAATTATTTTCATTAGAAGCAACTTTATATGTCATTTTTATGACATTAATTAATTCACACATTTTAGGACATTTGTAAAAAGATAAACACTCTGGCCCTGGCTGGCATAGCTCAGTGGATTGAGGGCAGGCTGCGAACCAAAGCATCGCAGGTTCAATTCCCAGTCAGGGCACATGCCTGGGCTGAGGGCCAGGTCCCCAGTGGGGGCCACATGAGAAGCAACCACACACTGATGTTTCTCTCTCTCTCTTTCTCCCTCCCTTCCCCTCTCTAAAAATAAATAAGTAAAATCTCAAAAAAAAAAAAGATAAACACTCTACAGTTGGGGATGGTGACTATTAATATGAGTATTCACAGTATTATTAGCATGATAAAATAGTTTTCAGCTTTCTTTTCTAAAGAAATTTATTTATTTATTTATTTATTTTTAGGGGGGGGGTTATAGCAAGAAAGAGAGGGAGAAAAACATCAATGTGTGGTCCCCCCTCATGCCCCCTACTGGGGACCTGGCCTGCAACCCAGGCATGTGCCCTAACTAGGAATCAAACCAGCGACCCTTTGGTTTTCAGGCTGGCACTCAATCCACTGAGCCACAGGAGCCAGGGCGATTTCAGCTTTCCAAAAATTTAAATCTTAGAAGAAATTTAGAAGTTATCTGGTTCTCCAAATTTTCCTCAGTATAGGAGGACAAATGTGCACAGCAAACCTGTATGTTTCTAAAATACCAGAAAATAGGAAAATCTAATGAATACTACACAGTATTATACAAGTGGGCGTAAGTACAATCTCCCCCTCCTCAAACAGATGCCAGGACAAACTGGAAAGGTTGGATCAGCCAGAAATATGAGACCCAATCTAGTAGCTTCTATACTACTCCCACTAGAAGCTCATAACAAACCTCCCAGGTTTTTTTTGTTGGTTGGTTGTTTTAAACATTTTATTTATTTTTAGAGAGGGGGAGGGGAGAGAGAAAAAGAGGGAGAGAAACACCAATAGGTTGCCTATTGTACACTCCCTGACCTGGGTTCAAACTGCCATCTAGGCGTGTGCCCCGACCAGGAATCAAACCACTGACCCTTGGCTTCGTGGGTGGACGCCCAATCAACTGAGCCACAGTGGTCTTGGCAAAACCTACCAGTTTATTTTTGATTGGCTTTCCAGCACCTGTCCTGACTCCCTCTCAATCTCTTTGCTGTATTTTTTTCTATTGTATATCCAGCCTTCATCAAACTCAGGTATTCTAGAGAATATCTACAAATTTCCACCAAATCAAAATTTCTACTTATCATCTCATTGTTTAATTCATACTACTCAATGAGGCTTTTTAGTGAATGAAAGAATGAATCATTACTGAATGAATAAGACTCCTGATTTTTGTTTCTGATATTTCATTGTTGGTGTACAAAAATGCCTTTGATTTCTGAATACTAACTTTGTATCCCACTGTTTTGCCAAATTCACTTATTAGATTGAGTAGTTTTTTTGGTGGTATACCAACAATGAAATATCAGAAAGAAAAATCAGGAAAAAAAATCCCATTTGATAAAGCAACAAGAAAAAAAAAAGTACCTAGGAATAAATCTAACCAAGGAGGTAAAAGATCTGTACTCAGAAAACTACACAACAAAGAAATTAAGGAAGACACACACACAAAAAATGGAAGCATGTACCACGCTCATGGATTGAAGAATTAACATCATCAGACTGTCCATACCACCCAAAGCAATTTACAGATTCAATGCAATCCCTATTAAAGTATCAATGACATATTTCACAGATATAGAACAAATATTTCAGAAATTTATATGGAACCATAAACAACCCTGAATAGCTGCAGCAATTTCAGAAAGAAGAACAAAGTAGGAGGGATCACAACACCTGATATCAAACTGTATTACAAGGTCAC